CCACAATGACCTGGCCAGGTTGTGAACCTGAACTACTTGGCTCAGAGTCCAACCCTCCAAATATTAGGCCACCCTTCTCCCACAGTTGCTTAGAAGAGGCATTATTATTCACTGGAGTACCTTCATGTCAGTTACATGTAAACCTTGGTAGCTTCAATTAGCTCTTCCACACAAATACATATTATTCATTTAATGAAAGTTTGTTGCCAATTCTTCTTGGTATGAAAATTGTCATGAATCTTTACCACTTTCTTGTTGCTTTTAAGAGCCCAGTATTCTTTTAATTTCCCTATTTAGTGAATACTTGCCCATTGTAAATCACTAGTCCCCACCTTCAAAGCAAGGCTTTGGGTGAGAATTAGATAACTTTTAATTTGTTTTAAACTTGCATAAGGCTCACTTAGTCATCACACATCTTTGGTCACACAAGAAAATAAAGACATTTAAAAAGCACATGTTTAAAAACAAACAAACTCACCCTCCTCCAGGTCTGTACTCTGAATTAGAATACGAGTTGCCATGTTTTGTAAGTCCAGGCTGAAAATATAACAAATTCAATTCAATTGTACTATATATTTCGAACTTGTTCTTGAAGAATGTATTTTAATATTTATTTCCCTCACACCATTTCATGGAAAGGGATTGTTTTACAGATTTGTATTTTAATTCCTAACTTAAAAGGTAAATAAAATTTTGTTTGTTTCTATCTTTAGTGTGATCTTGAAAATTAACCAAGGAAGCACAGGTCTAAGCCAGTTGTAAAAAAAGTGGGAGTGGGAAGAAATTATAATGGGAAAAGGATAGTTTTTGGAGTAAAAGTTAGAGATTTACCAAACAATGGCTTCTTTGTCTTTTATTTCCCTACAATTTGATTGGTTACTTTAAACAAGTCTTGAAATCTGATTTGTTGCTTTCTCACTGGCCGGGTAAAAGATGTCATAAAGAGCAAAAAGTAGCGTATATAATCCTTCAGCAGCATTGTTAAAATATATACAAATTAATCGAATGAAGCCTTACACTGCTGTAAGAAGTAAAATGTTTTAAAAATCCGAGCTTTCACCCATCAACGGCATCATCAGGGATTAAAAAAATATTCCGAGAGCACTATTTTTATGTAAAAAGAGTGCGTGGTGAAATGTGTAAAAGATGTGACTATATATGAAAGCTGTAGAAATAAACTGTGAATGGGACATAATTATAAGGCTCTAATGATGAACTGTTATAAACAAAGAACTTATAAAAGCATAAAAATGGTCTAAAAAATGAGATACTTAAATAGAAGGTCGGCAAATTCACTACATTCTTCCCAGGAATTGAGTGTAGGCTTGTACTTTCTAACGTAAAATATTTGTAAAGGCATAGATTAGCAGGGTCATTTTCATTCATAATAATCTTGACATCAATGTCTTCATGGTCTTTGTTTTGGAAGGAATAGATATGTTTTTTCAGGGACGAGTTTCCATTGTTGAGATGTTCCTTTACACGGTTGTGGATGAAGCGTGTTGTACTACCAATGTATTGTTGATTGCAGCTGTTACATGTTGAGCCGGTATACTACATTTCATGGTAAACATAATCCATTGTTAGAGATGAGGCACTTGTCTCTGGTGCATTTGTGTACTTTTGGGGTGTGGGATAGGACTTGTCTGAGTGTAAAAGATTTGGGAGACCCCCAGCAAATCCAAACTCAACTTCATCTGCAACGAACGAAAACGCATCAAGGACAGATGCTCCTCACATATATCTGCAATATAACACCTAAGCACATTCAACAACATCCTTCGCCTCAACGGTTACCCAGAGAGTAATATAGAACAATTAAAATGTCCACAGCACCCCCAAAGAAACTCCCAACCTGCCAACACAGAATGGTCACACCTCAAGTTCCCATACATCTCTGAATGACTAAATCACAGGATCTCTAACATCTTTAGGAAAGAAAACATCCTGATATGTATTTCCCACAAATCCTTTAAACTCAGAAAAGCTCTATCCTACACCCCCAAAGTACACAAATGCACCAGAGACAAGTGCCCAATCTCTAACACCAATTATGTTTACGATGAAATGTAGTATACCAGCTCACATGTAACAGCTGCAATCAACAATAGATTGGTAGTATGACACGCTTCATCCACGACTGCGTAAAGAAACATCTCAACAATGGAAACTCGTCCCTGAAAAAACATATCTATTCCTGCCAAAACAAAGACCACCAAGGCATTGATGTCAAGATTATTATGAATGAAAATGAATCTACTAATCTACACCTTTACCAAGCATTTTACATTAGAAAGTACAAGCCTACACTCAATTCCCGGGAAGAATGTAATGAATTTGCAGACCTTCTATTTTAGTATCTCATTTTTTAGACCATTTTAACGCTTTTATAATTTCTTTGTTTATAACAGTTCATCATTAGAACCTTATAATTATGTCCCATTCACAGTTTATTTCTACAGCTTTCATACATAGTCGCATCTTTTACACATTTCACCAGACTCTTTTTAATATATATATATATATATATAGTGCTCCCAGAATATTTTATTATCCCTGATGATGCCGTTGATTGGTGAAAGCTCAGATTTTTAAAACATTTTACTTTTGATAGCAGTGTAAGGCTTCCTTCAATTAATTTGTATATATATAAAAAGTGTGTTTGTGAATAAATCAGATTGCATAGATATCAGTGATTAAGGCTTCCTTCAATTAATTTGTATATATATAAAAAGTGTGTTTGTGAATAAATCAGATTGCATAGATATCAGTGATTTCAAATTGTATGTGACAAGACAGAAAGTCCAATAATATGGAAAGAAACAGCTTCACCTCATCACTTCTAGGAGCTAATGAACTGTTATGCGGCAATTATTTCTACATCACTTCCTGTTTCTCTATGTATCACTGACGGCCCCACTCCATACTGTATTAAAGTATCATGTGTAGCTAAAAATAATTCGCAAGTGCTGGTAGGTTTACTTGTCTCTCGTGTTTCAGGTATCAAATACAGCAAAGTGGCAGAAAAATCCTAGCTTCAGCTATAGCGTGATTTAATAACTCAGCTTATTCCAAACACGACATTTGCAATGCGTACGTATACCACATCATTAACGGCGACGTGTGATGCTTTTAAGCGTAAAAACACTCACCGAAAACATGGTGTGGAAGCTGTTTTTGAAAATTGAAGACAAAGGAAAGAAAGATCAAATCGTTAGAGATACAAATAACAAAAACGTTTTACGTGTAATGTCCACAAAGAAATATCGTATCATTTGCTTACAATAAGATGACGAAGTTGATAATTCCCCAGAAGACGTCGGAGAATATGGACAATCTCCATATCGATCTACTTTCTACGACGTTACCTGGAAATCGAAAGAAGAAATAGTTACAGTACATAAAAGAAAAGGGCTATTTTGGATTCCCAAAGTCCTCTTACTTCCAGAAACGTACACCATTTTGATGAATCAGTTGGTATTTTGATTGCGCAAGGCTTGGATCGAGCCTCTTTTTGATGATCACCGAGCTGGATCTGAGCACTAACGCGTCGAATTACTATAGCAACAAGAGTCTAGTTGTAAAATGGCGGTACATTTCGGTGGTTTTCTAGTACAGTTTTTAATTTCTTTTTCTTCGATAGAAAGTCCATAATTCAACCACAAGACTACATTGTAACCTTCTAGAGTCATGGGGAAGAAGAAGGCGAAAGAACCAGAAACTCCAGCCAAAGACGAGGTTGGTTATTTTACAAAAAAAGTGAATGCGAAATTCACCAATCGAAGTATGGGAAAAAGTTGACTTCATGAACTTGTGGGAAACTTAAGAATCCCTTTAGGTAATCCATGGTATCTGCGGTATCCGCGATCAAATAACAGGGCCTAGTACCGAGAGAGTTCTTTAATTAGAAATTGTTCAGCTATCGTCAAGGATTATTTAGGTAAAGTCGTGCAGAAGCTGCAAAACATTATGGTTCATTTTAGTCAGGTATGGACATAAACATAAGCGAAGTGAAATATTATTTTAATACTGTTTTACATGATTTTCAGACTGACAAAAATATGAACCATCACTCGAGTTTGATTTTTTTCTTCATCCAAACTTGTCACGAACGTGGCCTTTCGATGGAAGGTGTTGTGCGTGCGTTTAACAAATTACCCCCTCGAAGTTTTGGACTGTACGTACATGCATAAAAATTGTACTTCTGAGCGCTGTATCGATGTTTCTTTAACTGCGAACGCTTATCATTTTCTACTGCTTCAAAACCTGTAAATTATTAAGACTCTATTTCTAAATTTCATCAACAGCTTCTCGGAAATAGACTTAAAATCTAGCCGAAAGCGTCGCATAAATAGTTACCTAAGTTTTCCAGTTATGTGTTTTTAGTTTTCGGACTAAGCATTCCAATTCATGTACATCAATTTCTATGATTTATGGTCAGTCCCTTAGTAGCTAGTGTTAATACATCGAGGTCACACGCATCAGCTGTTATAAATGTTATTATTGGCTACGCATGTAACGGGAAATAAATTACTGCAACCCATAATTAACATCTAAGTTTTATTTGTTTGGGTACTAGTTGAAAATGATCAGAAAAATTAATGATGTAGGTACTGGATATTACCTTGAAGCCTATTTATCAGATTAATTTAGACCTCTTTTGTGGAACATGAAGATTTATGACATAATGTTACAATGTGATTTTGATTGTTTGAATAGCTACATTACAATTAACTAATATCAAGCTAACTAAAAGTGAGGAATTATCTTGTCAAGTAATGAATTTCTGTGTAAAAACTGCAGGCAACCAGAAGGGAGAATGAATTATCCTATCTTTGAGTAAAAAAGGTTAAAACCTGTTTTGATATTGACAGAAATTATTGATGAAACTAATGTGATCATTTTCAATTTAACAGTTTGACCCTTTAGAACTTGTCAGCAAGAAGCCCCATACAGTTGTTCTGATGCTAGACTCTCCAGAAGAACATGTCCTTCAATCAGCGTGTGAAGCACTGTACAAGTTTGCACAAAAGTGTTAGTGTTCAAGGCTGTGCTCTAAGAAAAATTGACGGGAGCCCAGTGCTCTGAAACTGTGAAATCCAGGGTGCCCAGCATATGCTTTTTATGAAAAAAACTAAGATTCTTGAGTTTCCCAAGAGCAAAAGTAAGGCGCCAGGGGCCACCGGGCACTGCTAGACCACAGCCCAGGTTTTCTTTATTTGCTATTTACTTTCTTTTTTCAGAACACAGAGAAAGCTGTGACTGTCAAATAATTATTAAACTTTTAAATCAGGGCTCGACACTAACTTTTCAACTTACCAGCCAAATGGTTTGCGACATATCTTAGATCTTACAACAATTTCAGTTTGTTTATTAGCCAAACTGGCTTGAGGAAATAAAAAAGCACCAGCTAAAACTGAATTTCTACAACTCTATGGCTAGTTGGCTACCGTTAGTGTCTATAGCCCTGTAAGTGCTTTCTTTTTAGAACTGTTGTTGGTTGAGATGTTTGATTGATGTAGGGATCGGTGTAATTGGTCAATAATGAGCCAATGGTTAAGCTGTCAGCCTGCTGATGAGGGACCTAGAATAAAATTAAGGTCAATTTCTGGGTTGATATTTTTGGTTAGGCACACTGACAGTAAAGATGTTGCCCCAGTACTGGTGGTTTTTGTTTATTTCCTTTTTAAAATGTCAGCTACCCTTATTCTCAAAGCTGCAGTATATCTTTGATGCAAATGATGTGCTTTAATTTATTTATTATTTATTATTATTTATTTATTATTATTTATTTTATTTTATTTATTAATTAATTTGTGCAGGTGATGAGAACAGACAAGAATTGTTGAACCTTGGGGTCTTGGAACCCTTACTTAAACAGGTCATGTCTGAAGACAAAGTGGTGAGACGAAATGCTACTATGTGCCTTGGGACCATGGCTCAGAATGGTAAGTCTTACATGAACAGAAAAATGTTTCTCGTGCAAGTTTATTGATAATTATTAAAAACTAGATCATTGGATAATGCAATTCAAGACTTTTTATTGGCTTAGCCATTATGGTATATCAGCC